TACAAACCAAAACACAAAAACATCACAGAAAGATATGCCATGGAAAGATTGTAATGGAAGCACAGTTAACTCAGCTCTGATGACAATAGGCGGGGGTGGGGATGGGAGACCAGTGTGTTTTTATGTTTTCATCAGATCTCCGCACCCTGCTGGAGTTCTGTCTGTCAGAGAGATGCACAGGAGGGGCAGCAAGTTGGACGTGGCACAGCACAGCATGGTAGGTAGTGAGGCATTGTGGGTGGATGACCACAAGAGTGGTCCCTACACCAGTGGTATCGTGAGGCAAGAGGCCATCAAACTGGCTGTCACCCAGACCTCACCAACTCTCCCAGTCCACTGTTGTCTTAGATGCTAGCAAAACGTTGGTTTGGGCTAAGGTGGTCCTTTGCCCTGGGTCGTCATTAGCCTGGCCCTTCCCATACTGCACCACCGTTTTGATCTTTTCTGCTGTGACAAAACACTCTGACCAAAAGGAACCTGGGGAAAGAAATGGTTTGTTTCTTCTTATGTTATTTCTTAGTAGCTCTTATCAGTCACAGTCCATCACTGAGAAGATTCAGGGCAGAAACCCAAGCAGGCACTCGAAGCCCAAACCATGGAGGAACATTGCTTGCTGACTCCATCAAATTTACATGTGATAAGCTTTCTAAGGTAGTCCAGGACTGACTGCCCAGGGGATGGTGCCACCCACAGTGCCATGAGCAGTCCTATCATCAGGGAACAATCAAGATAACCCCCAAGGGACATGCCCACGGTCAAATCTGACCTGGATGGTCCTTCAGTTGACTCCTTCAATTCCCAGGGGACTCACATTGGCAGCTGCCTCCCACTGAAGGGTACAACTTGGCTCACCATTAACAAACAGTTCAGGTGAGCACCCAAACTGCCTAGGCTCCCACAAAGCCAGTACATGCATTAGGATCAAAAACCCATTGCCATTGTTCTTGAGTTCTCAGTAGTCCTCATTGTCCGCTATGTTCAGCGAGTCCGTAGAACCCTGATTGCTCTTTGGGCTGACGAGGGAGGAGGATTTGATGGGGGAGGGAGAGGGAAATGGGGGGCAGTGGCAGGGAGGAGGCAGAAATCTTTAATAAATAATTAATAAATAAATTTTTAAAAAGGTAAAACAAAACAAAACAAAACAAAAAACAGTCAGGAACTCAAACAAGGATGGAAAATGCTGGAACAGTTGGGTTTGTCTTCTCTCCACCTCAGATGACATGGAGGGGAAAGTGGGAAATGGCATGCTCCCTGAGCTGTCCCCCCTCTAGTGGGCCTTCTCATCAAAACATGGCAAGACAAGGGAGCGTTTGTAGGCATGTCTCAAAGAACACACGGACCAAGATGCAGGAGGTACCATTCATTCCTCAGGGCAGCGAGCTGGATGCAGAATTCAAAGTCAATGAGACCACATACCATTTTCATATGCTTCCAGACTGCAATGGGTCCCCTCTCCCACTCCAGACTCTACAGCTAGAGGTGCATGGCATGTTGACATACATATGCATGTATGTGTACATGTTGGCATATATAACATGAATGTGTGCATGTATATGAAATATGCATGTAAGTGTATACATACATATATTAAACACAGGCATAAACACAAGCAGGCAAGAAGAAAGAATATACACATGCATATGCATAAACACTTAGCATAATTCAGCTTTATTAAAGTCAACCAATAGTAAGAGTCCTTGCTGTATTTCGGTCCTTGGCTCGGCACAAGAGCACACGGTTAAATGAGGGTCACCAGTTCAGAGGAACTCACCATTCAGAGAGGGCACAACTGAAAACCCAAATGCCCCTGTCAACCAGCATGGAGGCTATTTACAAGAGGAGGTGGCCTTGACTCCTGCTAGATGGGCTCAGGCCTCAACGTCACTACTTGGAAACCATGTGATACCCAGCATGCATCTTGAGCTGCGGAGCCCTTGTTATTAAGTTGGATATCTACAACAGTACCTTCTTCTTGGGGTGCCAAGCTGCCATGACATTCCACTGAAGGCACTCAGTGAAGCTCTCATTCCCGTGTATCATTATTAATTATCATTTTTGACAAGAACATGAAATTGTAGTGGGCACAAAAGATGGAGAGGCCTGTCTAGCTTGAGGGGCCCTGCGGGAGCTCTGTGGATGCTGTGTGGAGCTGAATCTTTCTAGGAACAGGCGCCTGTGAGAAGACCAAGGAGAGGAAGGGCAAGTGGTCCAGCCAAGAACCAGTTTGTTCAAATGCCCGGGGGTGGGGTGGGGGTGAAATATCCCATCAGGTACAGAGAACCACATACCCAGAGTAAAGGTTCTAGGCCAAAGAAGAACTAGGGTCGGATCTGGAGAAGACTCTCAAGAGCTCAACAACATAATACCAACCATCAGAGCTGCCTTTCAGAGAGTTCAAGCAAAATTAACCAGACTTGACTTTCCCTTTCCAGGGTCACTGTCGTGGTGACCAGAATCCCACTGTTGCCATCACATGATTCTCGCTCTGCATCAAAGGTGTCTTGTTTGTTTTATCTCTGTAACTAATCAACTAATCTGACTTAGGTTTTCTTTATCACTAATCCCTCCCTAATGATTTCAAACACCTATCCTCCTAACCACAAGGAGACTCTGCACTTACCAGATTCACACAGCAATGGCTTGCCCTCAAAGGAGGCTACTGCAATGGCAGCTTTGAGGGTCAAGACTCTCTGAAAGGAAGGTGGGTGTGGAAGGTAGAGCCCAGAAGGGGCTCATAACTGTTCTCAGGAGCTGATGCCACACATCCTGAGCAGAAAGCAGGAGATAACAACAGCCCCAGGAACTGGAAAGGCACAAAAGGTCACCTAGGAGGAGGAGAAAGAGATTCACTGTGGCAGGATGGGGGTGAGGAGGAACCAGCCTAAGACAAGACCCACAGTTAGTGGTGGAGGGCAGACAAAGGTAGCTGCTGGAATAAATCCAGGACAGTTTCTTCCTACTTCATTCCTGAGCGCAGCCTTTACTCGTGTGCCCTGAGTACCTTCTGTGCCAAGCTCCAAAGAGGCATGGCTCAGAGAGTATCCAGTCTCTGTCTCTACTTAGCAGGTTCACTGACTAAAGAAAACAGCTTGTTGCCACAGAAGGACACATAATCTCCAGTCACGAGGACTTGGGGAGGCAGGGAGAGAGTTCTGTCGCTGGTATTGAGCACCCGGTCCTTCGTGCTGAGTGTTGGCCCAGATGAGCTTCTGAGTGCCACCCTGTTTAGCCTTTGTAACCCTCCTCTGACAAAAACACATCAGCATAGATAGTCTACTTTTCAGGCCTCAATTCTCACTATTCAGAATGAGAGAAAACAGAAGTCACAGCTAGGAAGGGGAGGGCAAGCAATAGAAGCTGAAGCCCTAGAGTTGCAGACACCACCCCCCAGACACTCCTTACCTCTTCAGACCTTTGGATTTCGTCTTGGGTTTTCATCAAGCATTGATTTTTCCAGATCAGTTTCCCCCATAACATGGCACAGTTCCCAAGTGCCCATGTCTTACTCTACTGTCACGCCACAGACCCAATAATCGCTGTTTGTGCACGTGTGTTCATGCGTTCTCACGTGTTTCTGTGTTTAATTCACACCCAGCCAGGGAGGACAGTGCAGACTCAGAGGCAGGACCCAGGCGCCTGCCTCTGCTGCGGGATCACCTCTGTGGGCGGCTGCAGTCAGGGGTACCCAGCACCAAGGACATGTAGCTTGTTTTGCTATGAAAGCACAGCAAAACAAAACAAAACAAAAAACCAAGGTTATAGTATCAACCTACAAGTTCGTGTTTACTTTAGCAGCAACCGGGAGATTCGGAAATTATACTGGGAGCAGTGCCGGCAGGCACAGAAAATTTTTTTTAGCAGCTTCTAAACCTTCTCAACTTTGTGCCTCAAACCGAGAAATAATAACTGAGCAGACACCTACTGTGTAGCAGGAACAATCCAGCACCCTGAGCCCAGGAGGAATTCCCACCCCTTCTTTTTCACGTGCTGGAGCAGTTTTATTGGTGGTGGTTTTTAACCCTTGAATGACCACGTGGAGTTTTCTGAAATAAACCTCTGGTTTTGTTTTCTTCTCATTGGTGTTTACTAGGCCGGAGCAAGTTATTCTTCTTATCCTTTTCCCCGAGTTTTCGGGAGGGGGTGGGGAGAAAACCCAGCATCTGGGTCTGGGACCACTTGAAAAGTCTGGGCAGGGACGGCTAAGGACCTCCCAGAGATAATCCAAATGGTTGATTTGGCAAAGCCCATTCTTGACCTTGACACAAGACAAGACAGGCAAGGCCCCCTCCCCCATTCAGCCAACACCTGGCTGAGTTGGAAAACAGGACCGGCCCAACCTTCCTACTGGCAGCAATTGAAGCTGTCAGCTTCTGCTTGTCACCAGTCCCACTGGAAGGCCTGGGGCAGCCACAAGAGCCCTAATTAGGCAGAAATGACACTTCCACAGCTGACCTGCCCGGACCTTTGGCGGACCATTTAACATCATTAGTTAACATTTTTAAAAGTGTGAATGTAAATGAACAGCCAGTGGCTTTCAGCGGAGTTTGTCGGTGGCATCCCCCCCTCCCCGCTCACCCCTTTCTTCTCTTTTTGCATGAATAGCCCACTTGTTTTCTCCGGAATTGGAGGGAGGCATAAGGAAGGAGGGGGTAAGAAGACCATCCTCTAAGGAGACAGATAGACGTGCTAAAGCATAAACAAGCTCGGAACACCAGAAAGGCCGGCTCATCTTGCCCGCATATGGCAGGGCATGTAGCTGATCTCCCGGGCCACCGGCGCAGAACCAGGAGACAGAGAGAGCCCCACGGGACCAGCAGATGCCAGGCCCCCCTCCACATGCCATCCACAGTCCCTCTGAAACACTCACACTCTTTCAAACCCTTCCCATGGTCCAGTTGTGCCTTCTGCGAGGCCGATGTTGCTGGCGTGTGTGCCTACGTGTAAATGCGCAGGTTCCCAATGTGCCTGGTCCAATACTTACACAAGAGTTCGTTTCCTACCTGCTGTGGCTATTTCCCGCCTTGAATCGCACTTCACTTTGCTTTTTCCTTTGCACCCACAGAATCCGTATACACCGACACTCTCCATCTGCAGGAGGGGAAGAAGAGAGTTGCACTGTGAACAGTCTGCTTTGTTTCCTGTTGGCTGACGGTTTGCGGGGTGGGGATGGCAGAGGTGCTTGGCTCCTGGGGCAGGGTACCTGACACCCAGTCCCTCTGTTGTTGGCCTTGGGTGCTTAGTTCTGGGCCTCAGATGTTATCATCTGTAAGACAGAAAAAAAATGCCTCTCTGTATCAAGTGGGAAGGGAGGGAATGGAAGTACGGGAATGCAGGGAGCTGTTATCTGAGTATGAGGAGCTGTGGATGGGTGAGCGCTGCCCGGGCCAGGAACCACACCAGGTTCTCACGAGGCACGCTGGGCACGGCAACCAGAGCACCCCAGATCCCTTCTTGGCCTCCCCGACCCTGCTTATTATTCTCAGAAGGGGACATGGATGTAAAACGGCTCCCACAAAACCTCCCTCCTCTGGACCCCACACAGCATGAGTGGGAGGCAGACCTCATCTACTTCCGGACTTCAGGAAGCCCCAGAACACTTGTGGGTACATGGTAGATGCACGTGCAATAAATGTAGGGGGGACGCAAGAGTCCAGGCCCCAGGACGTAAGGGATGTGGGTGGGTGCCAGGCAAACCCTGGGCAGGAGAGCCATGCTTGTCTCTGCATTAATGAGCCAAGTCAAGCAAAAGGTGTGTGGTGGCAAAGAAAAAAAAGGCCTGGGAAAACAGTCTTAGCTTGAGGCAGAAAGAGAGAAACTACTTAGGCTGCTCTAAGTAACATTTAGTGGAGAGGGAGGGAGGGGAACCTCCTCCTAGCCGCCAGGCATTTACTGCTTTTAAGCTAAATACCTCTGCATATTAAGCAAATAGGGAAACACCAGCTAGAAGATGCCATCCAATTGAAGCACACTGCGCCTAGAAAGCCTGTAGGAGGTGTAGGGTTTGACCCCTTTCCCATCACATGCCTGGTCCCAGCCCTGCTGTTTAGCACGGTGGCTTCTCTCCAGCTGTGGGGCTTATTGAAAGCCTCAAGCCCCTGCCTGGCTTTGGCACATTTTCTGCAGGTCCCTCCTACTGTGGCCACAATGGACTGCCCGTCAACAGCTCTGGGGAAGGGAGGTGGGCAGCAGCTGAGGGAGCACAGTCATTGTCTTAAAGGGCCAGTGGCACTGTGTGGCCTTTAGGCGTGCGGGGCCTGCAGCTCTGGTTCCCGCTAATGAGATGAACCCTTTTCTCCTTACTTGCTCTTTCTCTCTTTAATGATTTAACTTGATCGCTTTGGTTCTTTTCTGGTAAGGGAATTGCTCCATTGATCATATAAAGCAATTGCCTGTAAAACACTACACCGTAGCAAGCACTACTCTTCCCTGGATGAAAATGTCACAGCAATTGGAAAGCTCTTAGCCCAGTTCAGGAATGAGGTGGCGGAAGAGAAGGGTCTTTGCGTGTAACCCCAAGTGCTCCTGTGTTACTGGAGTTTGGAGATGTGACTGATGAGGTTTAAGATGGAGAATTTCCCTCCTGTGGCCTGCCATGATTTTTGCATAAGACTCTGAGAGACTAACCAAACACATTAAGCAACAAAACCTGACCATGCTTAACCCTAAAACTAGATAGATGTCATCAGAGAAGCTATTTTCTTAACGATTGACAATATCCTTTTATTAGAACCCTGCATCCAAAGGACACCCCACAGGTGCATTATGGGTTGGGGGAGGGGACGGGTCTTTCTGAGTGATAGCAGGGAGCCCCTGGTTTGGGACTGGAAGGATGAAAGCCCTGATTATTAGGGTTTGAGGATGTTTCTGACTTGTCACTTGGCGGCAGCAGTGACACACTGTGGGGATGAGGACCACACACTTGAGGAGTTTTCATAAACAGTTTTACTAAGTAAGCTTTGCCTTGCTGGGATGCGGGAGTAAGTCACTTGGGGGGAGGCTGTCATATGCATGAACCTCCCGGGTAATAAAGAGGAAACTTGTTAGTGGTCGTTCCTTTCCTCTGACAGGTTGAAGGTCCAGGTCTGTAGATAAACAAGGGAGGAACTGGCTTCCAGCATCACTGGCTAGAAGTGCTGGTCGCCATGTGTCTTCTGGGAACAAAGTTTCAGGTGAATCGCCTTTGGCCACCAAGCACTGCCTGTTCTTTTTGCAGCTAAGGCAGTAGACATGCTCTTTACTGTACTTGTTCAAAAGGCAGAACACCTGAGGGCTTGCTGACAGAGTCCAGCCACCAGCCGTGAGAAGACCACTCACAAGGGGTCCGGAGAAAAGTCACTAACCGCAAAGGCGCCCCAGCTGTAGACAGACACCCTCACTATATATAAATACAGCATATGTGTGATTTGGGGGTTCAGATTGTAAAATCTCATGTTGTTAGAACACACAGGACAGATAATCAATTAGGAAATCGTATGCACTACACCATATTATACCACACATATTAGAATACGTATTTCCCCTAATCTACTTATCCAAGGAGGAAATGAAGGCGAGGGAGTGTACTTTAAAGTTAGGCCTACTAAGGAAATGAGATCCTTGACTATGAAGAATTGGGTTGGGAGCCATTAAGAGTGAACCTTAAAGTTAATTTATATTTATATTTAAAAGGCATTTTAGAGCTGGGTGTGGCAGTGTGCACCTTAAATCCCAGCACATAGGAGAAAAAGACAGGAGGATGGATCTCTGTGAGTTGGAGGCCAGCTTCACACAGTGAGTTCCAGCCCAGCTAGAAGGACATAGTTTGTCAGTAAAATTAATTAGATATATAATGAGATGATTAATATAGAACTAGATAAAATATGCATATGCTCAGAAGCCCTGTCTGGCTCTAAGACTCTGATCTCAAAAAACACAGAAGACTGACCCTGTTGAGAAATGGCTGAGAGACACATAGTCTGCAGCTCTGCCTATCCATCAGTGGTCTGGACGGGAAAGTAGGTTGAGGCTAGCCTTTGAGGTCAGGAGCAGGGGAACGTGAACACTTGGGGGGCAGAAACCCAATTCCCATAATCAAAGAATAGAACAGAATGCAGGCTCCTGGCTGTGATCACACTGGAGGCTTGGCTGTCCAGGTGGGAGGAGCAGAGTAGGGGGTGGGAACAGACAGCCTGTGTCCTCTGTATGAACTTTAGAGTATATGCTGTGTGTGTGTATGTGTGTATGTGTGTGTCTGTGTATGTGAGTGTGTGTCTGTGTATGTGAGTATGGTATGTATGTGACTGTGTGTGTATGTGTGTGTATCTGACTGTGTGTCTGTGTATGTATATGTGAATGTGTATGTATGTGTGTTGGGGGGGGTGATGTTGGAGGGGATAAAAAGGACTATCTGATACAGGACAAAACAAGCCAAAGGAACTAAATGTCAAATCTGCCAGGAGTCACAGGCCTGCTGCCATCTCTTCCGTGTCCTCTCGGCTCTGCACAAGATGCCTGAGGTTTGACAGGAATCCCAGAGTCCACACCAAGCTGCTTTACCACTTACTCCCAGTGGGGATCTCTCTGGTGTGTTTTAAATGACCTGACTCACGAGGTATAAATTAACCTTTGGCTCAGTACATCCGAATTTCACAGTCAGCAAACTTTGTGAAGCTGTGAGGCATGTGCCTAGAGCTAATAACTGCATTTTAAAACATCGTCTTGTTCTGACACACATGCTCGACTAATAAGGTAAAAGCACACAGTGATGAGAATCACAGCCCAGGCTCATCTGTAGATAACTTGAGTAGTTATTCCTAGGGTTAAAACCCAGACTTGCAGTGAAAACCACAGACAGCTCAGCCTGAGCCTTTTAACTTACTTATAAACCCACACATTTGTATTTGTTACTGACATGTATGTCAGCCACTAGGAATTACCTAAAGAATGCGGTCAGATTCCTTCTACTCATTCAAAGGCAACCTCAGGCCGATGGGTATGGCACCTGCTGCGATGTGGGTTCTGCATCTTCCAGTTAGACAGCGATGCTGCTTGGCCTTCACAGGACCCAGGCCAGTGCAGAATCATAGGCTAAGGGAAGAAAGGCTTTGGTGGAAGGCAAGAGAGAGTGCTCAGTGAACATTTCAACCACAGTGTGGATGGTGAAGTCAGATGCGACTGCAGCCACGGGAGCCGACTTCAGTCATTCCAACGGAAGTCTGTTCTGCAGTTCCCCTTCTTCTGGAAGTCAGAAAGCCTGACTAACCCCAGAAGTTTCCTGTTTTGTCCTTTTCTTTTCAGTTTGATACAAATCCCAGCCTCCTTACCCCAATGATATGATGTGGGATTTCCCTCTGTATGCTGTGAATACATTTATTACCATTGGTTAATAAAGAAAATGTCTTGGGCCCCTACACAGGGAATAGAGGTAGGTGGGGAAAACTAAACTGAATGCTGGGAGGAAAAAGGTGGAGTCAGGGAGAAGCCATGTAGCCCCAATGGAGACAGACGCCGGAACTTTACCCGGTAAGCAACAGCCATGGGGCAATACACAGCTTAATAGAGATGGGTTAAATTAAGATGTACACATTAGCCAATAAAAAACTAGAGCTAATGGGTCAAGCTCAAGTAATTTAAATAATATAGTTTCTGTGTGACTATTTCTGGAATCTGCTAATGGGCCAAGCAGTGATTTAAATAATATAGTTTCTGTGTGATTATTTCTGGAATTTGGGCGGCCAGGTAATGAACAGGCGGCCTCCCTCAACAATGATATTCTCCCAGAATTACAGATTATCTTAAAATATCCGATTGGAACCAACACACACTTGTGGTTATCAACACCAGCGCGCCTGAATCCCTGGGATGACTTACAAATGCCTACCACGGGTCACGTGTGTGTGGCACAACCAGGTGTGAAAAGTTCCAGGACACCCCCCAATGAGTCTGAGTCAAACCCAGAGAGCATTCATAAGGGAAGGGGAACATGAAAACACACGTGCACACACGAGCACACACACACACACACGGTTATTTGTGCTTTCATCTAGCAGATATTTGGAGATGAATTTAACAGCATTTTACTTTTACATTATTCATTTTGGTTAAATTTC